CTGCCGTTTCAGGCCGGGTCATTTCAGGAATTTTGTCCCGGATTCAGGTTTTGGCCGAAATGATCATTTCACCCTAAAAGAGTTGAGATGGCTATGCTAAATGAAACGCATAAAAACTCCTATACAGGTCCTAAACTAAATACCTTGTTTGACCTGATAAAATATCTCGCTATCTTCGTATGCTTTGGCTGCGCATATCGCCAATATGATCCAGAATATTGTACGTTGAATGTTATTCGAAGTCATGATATAAAAATATCAGGTTGGATAACTTGATCTCTATATCCGAATAAAAAGAAATTTGTTAAAAGATGCGTATTTTTAAAATATCTGTCTAAACCTGGCCCAACAAATCGCAATACGTAGGCGAACATGCCAAATTTTAGACTGAGCGAAAATTAATCCGCCAAAATATACATTACAATTTCTCATATCGTTTGACTTTTTGGTCATTTTAGCAGGGCCGTAGCTATAGGGGGTGTGAAAACGTCTTTTCGGTAAAATAACGGTTTTATCGGCAAATCGTTTCCGTAAGCAGCGAAATATTAAGAGTGGTTCGGATGAAAAAGTAATACTATTAGCAAAAATTTAGCTAAATTCACAAAAATTACGGAAAAAGTTAACAAATTTTTATATGTGCGGAAAATTTTTGGTATGTCCGGAAAAAAATTGGCGATCTCAGCCACCAATTTTTTGGGGGAATATTAATTGAAAATGTTGTCGGCAAATCTGATACTACACCCCCCTTCTTTATCCTCTTCATTATGGCCCTGGTTTTTAGACCAATATTTCTATTTTTCTGGCTAATAAGATCAGTGCTGGAAAATATCCGGCAACGCCAGCAACACCGCTGCCAGGAAATTTCCTTGCATCTTGCAGCTATGATTTACTTTTTGTTTACAAAAGCGTTTTGCAAGTCGAGATTGCCTTGTGCCAAGATTGAAGTTTATCACACTGTGCGGCACCATATATCGATATACGTTCACTATATAATCTACATATGTAGGACGTTCTACATTAGACTTACACAGGAACTTTCTAGTTTGGGATTTTACTGCCAGACAGAGAAATGTATTTTCTAGGCCTGCATGAATAAGATCGTGGCTGCATGGACTGACTTACTCGGAAGGAGCGAATCGTGTTCAGGAATCGTAGCTCAGAAGCCAGGTGTTTTTCAGTAAAGAGACATTCTGAATCCGTCCTCCTTCCATGCAGTAATTCCGGGGCCCCAAAGTTCTAAACAAGTTTCTAATTTCGCCAGTTTGAGATGTTTTCAGTGAGGTTCAAGTAGACTATTTGCCTGTTTAACCCAATTAATTTAACCTTTCTCACGCCACCATTTTTGGGTGGCAATCTTTTACAACAGGGATAGTAAGCAGTGAAAATGAAACTTTCTATAATTATAGTTGTAAGTATAATCATTATAAATCGATTTACAGTTACAGATTTGAAATATTATTTTCACATCGCTTAGATTTTTCACGTTTTAAATAAAATAGTAGCTACCCGAAAATGGCGGATTTAGACCGTCGTGAGAAACTAAAGAAAGGCTAATTCAATAGCAAACAGACGCATGTATGGCATTTTTATATTATTATATATAGGCTAGTTTGTATACCACGTGAATAACATGGCACTTTTCAGATAAAATAGCCTATATATTTGACCTATAGCTTCTGAGGAACTTTTTAAATATATGTATGAATTTATCTAATTCTAAGCTCGAAATTCATGGTCATATTTTCCTGTCAATACATATATCGAGTCGTGTGTAGTAGTTATACTGTGTGTCTTACCTCTATCAAAACTATAGCAATCGATCAGTATCTTACCTCTATTAACCTTCGTAATATTTTTTAGTTTATGTTGTCTTTAATTTCCTCTCCTGGCGATTTTCAACTTCTATTAACTCCAAAATTCTGTACGAATTTTTTTTCTTTTCAACTTCCAATATCCAGCTGACTGTTTTCAAAAGAGCACCTGTCGTTAATGCTCCTGCCAGTCAATAAAATTAAGAGTTTGAGTAATAACTGTCGCAGATATTAAAGCCTTAGACAGTTATTTTAATATATTAATATTGTAATGAAAATTAAATTATCATGCATAAATTATTCTTGCTGCCGAGCGCTAGCAAGGCGGCAACTGGACTTGCTCCAAGTCTCTCTTTCATTGTCATATAGTATCGATCCACTATAGTGTGCATTACATGACGTAGCACGGAGGGGCGGAGCGAGAAAGAGAGACTTGTCAACTTCGGAAAATCCCGGTTCAAAACTGAACCGAAAATGCAAGACTTGCTTTAATTGTTTTCCTTTAATTTCTTTCTGTATTATTTGCTATTATGGAACTCATGTTATTTACACTGTGCTAGATCAATACATATAAACACTGACAGAAAACAATTAAAGCAAGTTTTGCATTTTCGGTTCAGTTTTGAACCGAGATTTTCCGAAGTTGACAAGTCTCTCTTTCTCGCTCCGCCCCTCCGTACTACGTCATGTAATGTACACTACAGTGGATCGATACTATATGACAATGAAAGAAAGACTTGGAGCAAGTCTAGGCAGCAACCTATTCTTGACACGCGGTGGTTTCTCCAGAGTCCACTCGACCCAATGTTTCGCGCGATCTATGTATTGTCGATATCTCGATCTTGTGTCTGTCTGTATGTAAAGATGTCGTAATCTGAGGGGAATGATGGATGATTCCAGCTATAGACTAATTTTGAATGATGGATGACAAGAAAAACGAAATCTCTCATTATAGCTCAAAAGAGCATCCTAAAATTAGTAAAATTGCAAACGGTTTGGTTGCGAAATGTTGTAAAATACGAAAAATATAGCGCTGTGAAATTAGCAAATTTTGAGTATTTAAGTATTACACGCGGAAAAATGCACAACTTTCGGCTCAAAAGTGGTGCATTTTTCGGCGCGTAATACTAATAAAATACTCAAAATTTTCTAATTTCGCAGGGCTATATTCCGTATTTTGCAAGCATTTTTTTTTAATTTAAGGATGTTTTTTTAAGCTATAATGATAGATTTCGTCCTTCTTGTCTGGATCAAAATTTAGTTTATGGCTGGAATCATCTATTGTTGGATAAATCTTTAAATTCTTTCCTATAGATTTGCAAGCTTTAATGTCGAGCTAGAGTGCAGTACGTAAGAACAAGAGATTAAATGACGTTTTTGCTCACAAAATTCAGCTTGTTATTTCCTGACTGCATGGTTATCGTAATGATGTCGTCCAGGACAAAGAGTATACAAGTTGAAATCAAGTTAAGCAGAACGATCTTCCGATTGTGTCCTGTTTGAGGTACGTGCTTTGTATTTGTTGTATAGGCAAAACTTGGTTTTTGACAAAGTCATCATCAAAGCCCTAAAATGTCGCGCATGCTCAAATGTGTTCGCAACACACAAGCTTGTCAAAAAATTAAATAATAATTATGACTATAGTTCCTGCAAGTTTGTTACACATATTTTTTTGGAAGGTTTTGAAAAACAGGACGATAAAAAGTTGTTGCACCAACTCCATGCCAAAGACAACTTTGTGTAAAATGCTTTGCTGCTGCATGGCATGTAATAAATACGTGTTCTTGCTTCTATAATCGAGGCATGCGTTGATTATCCGTACACGCTCAGAGCTGAAGTTCGTTAATCGTTATTTCAGAGGCACATGTTAGCCAATCATAGACAATTCTACGATGCTTATGTGCATACCAGAAGTATCAGAAACATGTGTTCATATGTTATGGCTAAAAAGTGTTAAAAACAATAATATGCAAAGCGTATCGAACAGGCTAATATTTAATATATACCATTGAATAACTATATTTAAAACTTCTTTTATCTGTACAGAACTTTACCCTGTACAATGCTAGTGAAAAACAATCTTATTTGATTTACTTTCTTGACATGCAATGTAATTAACTTTTAGAGTAAAACTTTTTCATTAATCGGCCTATGATTCACTTAATACTTTTTGTTTTGGATAGTTCATTCTTGTGATAATGCTTTAGTGAAACCATGTTGCTTGTGATGTTACTCTGAGTGTATATCCATACCGGGCAAGCTTGAAAAATATGACCACGGGGGGAATCGAACCTACGATATTGATATCGAAGGAACTAGATTCTGTTCCGAAATATGACATACTCGAACCGACCAAACCGCGTAGCTCAGTTGGCAGAGCATTGGGCTAGTATTCCAATGGTCGTAGGTTCGATTCCCACCGTGGTCAGGCATATTTTTCAAGCTTGCCCGGTGTGGATACACACTCAGAGTAACATCACAAGCATTATATTCACCTGAGTACATTACACCAACACAGAAAAAAATCATGAAACCATGTTATTGGACATATAGTCTTTAAATCCTAAAGTTTCTCTTTTCTTACCTAGTCCATTTTGATATTTCTACCCAATCCACCATTTTAGTCCAACTTCCAGCCTCTTCAACAGGTCCTCATGCCAGCCTAATGGAAAGTCACAACTTCTAGAGGGCTTTCAGAATCTTGTAAATAAAATGGCGTGATACATGCACTTATATAGCTTGCTTACGCCATAGCCACCCCATACTTTACGCCATAATTTGTTAGCACTTTATCAGCATGAATAAAATGTTTTAAAGCGATTTTGAACGAATAAGGCCTGTTTTATACGTCGAATTTCAGTCGCGTCGAATGCAATTCAAACAATACATTACGAAGCTTAATGAGGTTTATCATCTCATTATCTATTGTTTTAATTGCATTCGACGCGACCAAAATTCGTCGTATAAAACAGGCCGAAGCTAAAACACGTTTTTAGATATGAATTTAGCGCATGGTTGGATGACAATAGAGATAACAATGCGCATATTATTTACTTTTGTTCTAGCTTGCTAATATAAGTAATGCAAAATATATTTTGGGTTAAATTGCCACTTAGTCAGCCATGCAGAAATTTTGCAGAGCAAGAACGCTCGTCTTTGAAGTGCATTTTCTCGGTTGCTTGGGCCGCAATGGATATCGAGTTTGTAGACATAGATACAAAAGATTTAATCCATGCAGATGGTGTAGAAAAGTATTCTGTTGTAGAACTGTTATGTATAAGTGATGAAGAAGGTCCTGAAGCCAGCGTGAGTAATAAAACACGAAATAGGTTTGAGCAAGCTACTACAGACAGCGAACTAAATAGAAGGAAAGTTGAGCGCATTCCAGAGAATACCAGACGTTCGACAAAATGGGCAGTAAACGTTTGTGTATGATATAGTTGTGTGTTGAATTTACTAAAATGTATTTGTTGAACTAATTTGGTGTGGAGTGTTTGTTTTGTATGTTTAGTTAAAATTTTTGCGTGACAGCTAGTTATCAGAGTGTGATAAATATTTATCAGAGTGTGATAAGTGTTTATTGCATATTAATGAGCTATTTTACCCAGCAATTTCCCTCTCTTCAAAGCCTGTCCACTTGAAGGTTTTTCATTCAGTTGAATATGAGATTTAACACGTGTTTAGAAACAATGAGTTATGGGCGTGTCATTTGATAAGGATAACGTTGTTGTATGGCTTATATTGCCTATACACTTTTAAATACATAATTTATTTTTGTTTTGCATGTTTTCATTCTGTCTTGCTGATACATTCGAACATTATTATCAACCATTAAGTGCATTTATTTCATCTTACACATAATTTATATTATATATTACTATATCAATTAATAAATTAACTGTTATTGCAAACGTTTTCAACGTTGTTCAATGTACAACAGTTTGTGTGTGCATGTAGCTCTTTGGGACTTCACATATCACACATACGATCCAAACCAATAATTTGTTGTTGAGTTGCTTTTGTCTGTGCAACGAAAATTATCAACGTTATTCCCAAAGTAACCAAAATAGCAGCATTTATATACCTGTAGATCACAGGCAACATCGGTATGTGGGGAATAGCCTTTACCCTGCGACCAGAGCGAGGTACATTCTGAGCAATTCCGTCCCATGACACTAATATAACTGGCCTTCTTGCATGCACCCCAAAATTCACCCATCAGGTCAAAATCTGTGAACACAGCTCGGACATAATCAGTGTGGATGTCGTCTCCATATTCTTGAAAACTGCATGTAGCTCGCCAGTGAGAAGTCTTGTTCCTCAGGTCGGTCAATTGATTCAGGCTCATTCGATAGTTGGACCAATTTGGAGTATATTCGTTTGCCGGTGCATTTTCATACATCGCTTTGTGAGGTGCCAAAGCATTATTTGCTATCGTGAAGGACATGATGAGAGTCCAAACAGATCCGGGTTCAGACTCCATATCACAATACACTGTGCGCGGTTTTTGTTGCCAATCAAGGATGGTGTATTCACCCGATGTTTTACTACCATGGTTGAAATGGTCAAGACAACTTTTGTTTAAGGAAGGTGTGACTGCCTAAAACAATTTGGAACATCAAGAATTTTCATGCCTCGCCAAGTGTTTAGCGATTTTGACCGAATAGACTTAATTGCTTTTTGTCTTTATGCATTTTAATTTTTGGATATGAATGAAAAGGTGCATAGAGACAAAAAATATGTTAAAAATTAATAAGGTAAACATCACATGATCTGAAATGGGAATTTCCATACGAAGCTGAGGAGCTCTATTGGTTAAGGTGGCTCGATCCAGTTTTCAAAACTTCAGGTGTTCAACACTTTGACATGTTTGAACTACACATTTTTAGGATTTATTCAGTAGATATTGGGGTTGTTATATATTTTGATATCTCTACTTTCAAATTATAGAGATAGTTCGTTGCTATGACGACATATGTGTACGAAATTACTCCAAAATGGCTTATCGTCTCGTACAGTTGGAAAAGAAGCATGACTTGGACAAAAAGCTAACAATTAGCGAAGTAAAAAAAATTTTGTAATGCCATTTTTTGAAAAATGCGAAAATGTTGTACTCTTCGATAAAATGTTTTTGGCATTACAGATTTTTTTAAATTTTTTGTACAATGAAAGTTTTCAGCAGTGCAATACAGCACGCAAAATTTGAACATAGGTTAACAGACAAAATAGAGAGATATAGCGCATTGTTTTTCTAAAATGGAAAATTGTAATGACGTCAGCAATTGACATAAACGCTATAGAACACGCGCGATGGCGTGATATGACGCGAGCAACTGCTCACGTCAGGTCATTCTGGAAGTTCTTTCATTTTGTTAATCAGTTTTCGCGACTTGCGCGTAAAAATGGTCACCCGGTTTTGTTCGCGATTTTTGAGATAACTATATCGAGCCTCCTTAAGAGAACTTCTCTTAATATGCCGTATATAATACCCAAATATATAGCCAATAGAATACACTTAAGAAGGTAATAGGTGACTCGATGGAGACACAATATGTCTCATTATATATGTGTTTGTCTGTTGTATTTTCGCCCAACTAACCCATGGCAATGTTTTGGTTTATTTATACCCATCCGTGCTATTACACAATGGTTAATTGAAAACAATACTATTGGTTGGTTTTGCGAAAAAAAACTGCGCATGTGACGATGAACAAACTATTTTTTGCATAACCAATACAAAAACAGGTAATGCGACCCATTGTGTTTCCATGCGTTAAGTTTCTACTAACTATGATCTATAGTCGATGTTTAACAGGTGCAAAAAAATTGAGGTATGTATGGCTGACCCATCTCATACATCCATCCCAAGGTCAACTTTCTTTAAAAGAAAGATGAATTACATTTAAAAACTTTTGTAAACCAACTTATATATATTCAGACCTGGAAAAGAGTGGGATCTCGGGATCCTGGATCCTTTTTCCAGGTCTGCTTATATTTATCAGGACATTTTTTGCATCTCACTCGATTCAACTTGCGTTTTGTGATGGAAATTTCAAGTGTAAATTTTATACATTTATTTAGGTCTAACCAGGAGCAGCTGCGACAAATGCAACTATAGGCCCTCTGACAGGAATTGAACCAGTGGCTCTGCAATTCCGGTCCAGCACTCTAACCAACTGAGCTACATGCAGAGTACAGGGGCCGGTTGTATCAAAGGCGTTTAACTCGCTATCCACCGTTTAACTCGCTATCCGCCGGATAAAATTTAAACGCTCGAGAAATCGCGTTGTATCAAGCCCGTTTAGGGCTATCCACCGGTTAAATTTTGCCTATCCACCGTGTAAACTTGTACGGTCTCTTGAGACCGTTTAAATCGCTATACGGCGGATAAACTCGGAGTTTGAAGATAAAACAATGATTATTTCGGATGAAAAAGCATGGGATAGTTATAAAAATGCACAATCATGTAGAGGAGTTATCTTTTTAAATCCAATAAACATGAAAAACTCACTTTTAACTGGCTTGGTCTTGAGGTACACTGAGGTCTCTTGCTCACTTGTAATTCCGTGGCTTTGCTATATTTTAATACGCACACCAGTGTCATGTTTAGATGTTAAGTATATATACTCTGGCTTTTTCTTCTTCTTTTCTTCTATTATATAGTTTGAAAACAAGCAGTAAGACTCGCAATTTTAGCTATTGTAAAACAAACAATGACTTTGTAAAGCCAACAAGCATACAAAATAGACAACAAGACGCCGAAAGTCGAAAAAAAATTGTTCGCTCGCGTTAATCGCTTTGATCAGCCAATCAAAACGTGGTTCAAAATGTTCTTAAAATTGTTTTGTACAAAAGTGCAAGGTCGAGGAACAAATTTCAAACAGTATAAACCTGAATCAACTGACAAAAGCCAAATACAACTCACAGTTTTTGCTATTGCCTTCGACTCTTCGCATAAAGAAGCCAAAAATCTTTAAAGAAATATCCGTAAGTGAATTTAAGTGAATGAGAAACTCAGTACAATGTGAAAATGAAAAGTTTGATATAGATTTGCAGCAACGAATGGACGAGCAAACTCCAAATAAAAACAACAACAAACTTTATTGCAAAAGCTTAGTGGAATTCAATGGCCTAGCAACAGCTGACGTAGAGGTAAGAAATTTCAAGAAAATCCGGTTTTCTCCAGTTAAATTAAAGGTTATCCTACGGATAGTTAAACGCGGTACTAAACGGGCTTCATACAACGCAATTTTATCGGCCGTTTAACTATCCGCTGGATAAGAAATTTATACGCTGGATAGCGGCTAAACACCGTTTAAGTTAAACGCCTTTGATACAACCGGCCCCAGTTGTCGAGCTCTAACCGCACGAACAAGTACATGTATATATACTACTAGAAAATACATGCATGCAGAAACCCTCGCCTTGCTGACAAAACCATTGTGATTTTCCGAATATGAAGTATCTAAAGTAGTTGTCATGGTAACACGATAATTTTTTAAGAATATTCTTACAAATGAAAAATCGCCTAAAAATATCACTTTTAATTGCAAAATTATTAATTTGCCAACATATATGTTAGGTATGTTATTAGTATACGTAATTAAGCCTCGATTTAAGGTAAAATTCAACCACAAACGCTTCGCAAAACGTTTTAAAGTCACTAGTGTTCTTTATAAAACTAAACTGCCTTTTAAAATGGCTTTATCGATAAACTTTGAGTTTGCAATAAAATGATTTCAAATTCTCGCTTGCAAATAACTTTGCTTTCTTTTTTATTTAAAAAATTCAATATTATAAAAAAGGGAATCAATATTAAAGATACACTGAAATTATATGCTGTCTTGTTTAGTTGTTTCATATACGCAAAGGCCGTCGGGTTTTAAAGCCATTATAAAATCCTTACCTTCGTAAACGTCGGCTCCCTTCTTTTAGCCGATTCTTTTGCAGTTTCTTTCTGAGAGAGCTTTTAAAATTTACAAAATCTTGCAAAAATGCGAGCAAAAATGAAATATATTTGCAAGAAATTTATCAATCATCAAATCAAGAAATGTTTGCTATTTCGCTGTCGTCATGCAGTCGTTATCATGCAAACTTTAAATTGGACCAATCAGTGTCCGCTATTCACGACAGTCCGTCATATTTTTGAGATCAGTGAGGATGACCACCCACCCAACACTCCAACATCGTTGGTCACCCACGCCCGCGATAATTGATAAACTTTAGACTTCGCTAATGCTTTCGTTTCCCCATGAGGTGTAAATAGCCTGGGGGAATTAGTACCCTCGCACGGCGCTTCGCGCCGTCGGCTGGGGGATAAGGTGATTCCATGGTAAGGTATATGGGTAAATATCAGGATTGAACATTGAAGTACTCTGTAGCTCAGTTGGTTAGAACGCTGCACCGTAATCGCGGGACTGCAAGTTCGATTCCTAATGAATACGTAATTAATTTGATGGGTTCGGATTTTTTTTGTTATCCTGCAGAGCTCCTTAATTATACGGAAGCCCTATTTTCTCTTGCTACTGAGACGAAACGTTGGTTACAGAAGTGCCAAGAATCTGGACAAGGAAAGAGACTTTTTCCAAGCACGAGACTGAAATGTGATTTTTGAAAAAGCAAGATTGATACCTGTTCATCTGATATTCCAGGTATATGATAAAAGGTGTATCTATCATCTTTCAGGAACTCTAATGAATTTCCATCATCATTCTTGGTTTCAATATGTAATTCACAATTTTCTTCACCATCGCTGACCGAAGTAGGTGCAGCATAATTGAATGAGTTACAAGTTTCTTCCCTGAAGCAAAACAAGACGCAATCCAATGATGTCTTCACTCTTAGGCTTTTGAAGGCTTCTCGCTGGGATCGAATACCTGAAAAATGTTGATACTGTTAGAGGACGTGAAACAAACAGTAAAATGCTCAAAAATGTATATACTTTCGTTTGGGCTATATATGACTGTGCGTTTGAGGTCCTGAATGTTATAGGTATTCAGTAAATTCTTTTTAAAAAAAAAATGCGTTGCTGAAATACAAAATCCTCAAATTCATCTTAAATTCATACTAGTTAGTCGTAATAATAACATTAATATTAGAATAGAACAGAAGCGAATCAATGCATTGCCATTGTAAAACCATGGATATGGTTCTAAAAAATTGATATGAAGTTGCATGACGTTACCAGACGAGTGACCTATTTGGGATTCGTGCATGATGTCACGCACGAATGCGAAGAATATAGTAAAGTCTTACTGTGTTTTTCTTCTATCTTCCTAAAAGTAGCTATATTGAGATTCGAAATGGTTTCATTGTCTCTTAAACCTTTCTGTGCCACAGCAAAGTATTCGAGATAAATATTGTTCGTCTTTGTTTTAGGTTTTTTACTTTCGTAATCAAGACATTAGCGTCACAAAAACTATAGTTCATATAATTGAAAATAATTGACGTCCAATTTGATATGGTCCTCGAAAATGACCAATAATATTTAGATATTCCATCCAAGAATGGCATGCAGTTGTAGTATTATTATACTAAAGGTGGAATTCTTTTGGATTTGGTATAAGGTCGTCATTTTCAACAAAGTTGAGACGCCATCATCACGCTGAAAACACCATGTGCATGCATGTGAATGCGTGATCGCGAGCCGGTTTCTTATCCGTGCAGTGTTTTAATGACTCGTGGTAGTATTCCACATGAGTCAATACGAGCAGTGTAGATGTCACATTCAGCTTCAATAATATTTTACCTTGTTTGATTTGATAAAACATCTCACCATCTCCATATGCTTCGGCATTTACGCTCATCGCCAATATGATCCAGAATATTCTACGTTGAATATTGTTGGAAATCATGATATAAGAATAACGCGAATTGGATTGTTGATCTCTATATCAGAATAAAATGAAATTTCAATTGTCAAAATCGCGCGTATTTATCAAAATAATATATATTGCTGAATTTTAACTATAGAACTGGCCGACAAATCGGAACGTACAGGCGTACCGTATATATCGCATGCATATATTCTAAATATCTGAAGGCGTTTTCATCACAATTTCCATTTTCCAATTAGTAATTTTAACGAACACACGTAACTAAATAATTAGCGAATGTATGTGGAGTATTAATATAATAAAATTTATTCCTAAGCAACTTCGGCCTTTGAAAAGCGAAGCGAAAAATTTCGGCAATGTAGTTTGTTCGTGAGAAAATTCACCGCGAAAAAATTACAACTGTTCTACGTTTTTGCGGCGGATTTTTTGCTAACCGATTACATTGCCGAAATGTGTGTTTCGACGCTTCGCGCGAATACGTTCCCGGCATTGATTCCGGGAAGTAAAAAAGCGGCTCCATAGCCTCCGTTTTGTTTTCTCGTAATAAGTAGTCACTACCACGCATGCTTAAATAACTCATGAATAATTTCAACCCTGGGTTGCTAACTGAAGCGGACTTGAAATTTCAACACCGGGGTTGAACTCGGCCTTCGATCGAAAATGTTGTCATGCCGTAATAGCGCGTTAACCCGGTTACGTATACCAGGGTAATTATTCACCAAAGTGCATGGAGATGAATATAGTTCAAGGATATTAAATTCACCGAAACGCGAAGCGTTGAGGTGAATGTCCTTGCATGCACTATATTCACCGACTTGCACTGAGGTTGTTGTTTTAGTTTTAGCATATTCCACAAATTGTTGTAGCATACACCACAACAAAACAAAAATGTCCAAAAAACAACAAAAATATTGTAAATTTAAAACAATTTGTATTTCAACTCCCATAATAGTTGTAAGCAAAACAGTATTTACACGATTTTATTAATTTTATTCATTACAAATATAGCTTTAAAGAATACCTCTACAAAGTTTTAAACAAAACGTTGTGGCTCTCTTCGTGTTTGGCGAAACTGCAGCTTCGTTTAGTTTTTCAAAATTTGCTCGTCTGTGACCGGAACGAAACGGAAAGCCGTTATGTTTTTCTCCAAAGGTGAATAGTGGGAGGATATTCGGAGCTGAGTAACCAATTAAATTACGCGAAAAGCACTATCCACCTTCTGATACTGCATGAGTACATGCTACTGTTAAATTTTATTATATGCTCATATATGCCCCCTTGCAGATGGCTGGGGAAAAACGGACAAAAATTATATTTTAATCAGAATTAGCACCATGGGTCGTGTTAAATTTAATTTGAAACGATTACTATAGGTCATGAAGGATATGAATTTGTCATTCCCCGTGTATAATGCCAAATTGAGTCCATTATTTGAATGTACACTGTAAAATAATGCACCCACATGCAGTGACTCACAATATTGAGTAAAATTGTAATCAAATTTATCTGCAAATTTACTTACTTTTTTTACTTTTGAGCAAAGTAAATCTTCTCGAGTCAATCCTTTATATAGAAAAATTTGAAACTTTACTTAAAAAAATGAACAAATTTGTAATTTTATTCCAAAATTTTGAGTCACTGTGGGTACAATATTTTACTCAGGTTTTTTATTCAAAATACTCATGATTTTTTGCAGTGGATATATCCAATGCGCCTTGCTTTAGCTATGTATACATAGTGAAATTTACATACTTCCTATCGGCCGCTTACTTTTTACCATGGTTATACGTTATCTACGTTAGTTGAACATAATCATAAATTAAATTTTATTGGGCAAGAATATGCTCATGAAAACAAACGGTATATTTCCTTATATAAGCATGCACCTTCTTTTATTTTGCTTTACATATATACTGCATGCAAGTGCTTGCTTGTATGATAATTAATCGAACGCATGCATGCGCACGCATATTTCTATTTTATTGCGTTGATAAAACCTTAAGATAACTAATTTTGCAATCAGCAGGTGCGTACTACGAATATATACATCATGCATGTAATGATTAATTTAAGTCGTTGGTAAACTAGGCGACATTGTTATGGAAACATTGATTTCTGTACATGTTCCCCAAAGGTGGACAAATCAGAAAGAATTGTTGTCGCAAGAACTATTATGTGCCTGAACTTGTTTCGAAATATTCTTCCTTCATCATGGCAAACAATGTTATCGTTAATTCTTAAAATTGAATTCTTAAAGATTCTTAAAATTGAGTTACTTAGGCCTAAATACAAAATTGAAATCATATGCTTTCTTATATACTAGACTTACATGTTTGCACCGACAAGTATATAGCTATATTTTCTGGATATTTAACAGTTATTCTACGAACTCGAGTCGAATATGAGCTGATAGCCGATGAGGCGCGTAGCGCCGAATCGGCTATCGTTCATATTCGACGAGAGTGAGTGGAATAACTGTTTTATTATATACACAAGGTCTGAATTCACAGACTTTGCTTTTCGAATATTTTCAATATTTTTCTATTTTGTTTATGTTTTTATCTTCGCTCTTTCGGCCGATTATTTTTTCAAAAATATATATTTTTAACCATTTTAAATATTAAAAATTTATTTGCTAACCTGAAAACAATTTGTGCGAGTTTTTTCATTGTGTTTTTAATCCTGTGAAGGCTATAAAAAGCGACAACTTGCCGTTTTCTCGTTTGCAAAACATCGTAAATTCAGTTTGGCCGCCATTTTGTTTTTCTCTACTAGCAGGATATGAGCTAATATCCTGCTAGTAGAGAACCAATCAGATTGCAGAATACCTCATATCCAGACCTTGTGTATATAATAAAACTGTATATTCCGCTACATCAATATATCATATTGTTAATATAAGAATAGATTCGAAAGACTGCAAGAAGAGAACCTTATACCTTTGCAAAACTGACCCATTGTTTATATTGTGGCTATTTGTGTATTACCTGCAATTTGGCGACGTTTCTCTGCGAGAAGTCAATGAGAGGGTAACGAGTTTGAACAATCAAGAGTATTATGATTTTATTGGAAAAACTGAAAGTTTTAAAAATATTCGAGTCAGCTGCGTTATCAACAAATACAATGATAAACATCTTGTTAGAATCGTATAGCTAAGTCTACATTAGTAATAATAACACATACTTCTGAGGCATTTTATAATATAACATTTAATTATAGTACGCGAGCGTAGATTGGTCGAGAAGCGTGTCTCTATATCTGTACAGAAACCGACGGCAGATGTCCCGCCTCGCGCCATCGATTATGAGAGAAAATAGCCTGAATACGAGGTTGCCTCGCGCCTAGAAACACTTGTAATAGTTTGGCAGAACTTGAAATAACGTGAAAAATTCGCCCTACGGGCTCGTTTTCCCACTGGTCTTTTCCCGTTCTCTCAAACTCCCACGCGGGTTTCTATGCATGAAACATGGAAAATGTTTTCTATTTGCTAAATATACGTTACATATTCATTTGTAAATTATTATTTCTTTAATTGTAATATAATTTCTAACCTCTTGTAATATACACATAACAATTTAATTTTAATTGCTATTAGATGTGTAAAATTTTTAATGATAATAAAAAGCATAACGTATAGAGAGAATCTTTTTAATAATTTAATAAACCATGCAATCACTGGCAGTACGGGTATTGCGGGGCACCCACTAATTAATGCTGTGTGCTACGTTTCACCGTTTATAACATTGCCACAGCTCTCATGACTTCGCTCAGGCCAAGCCTATATATATATATATGGGCAAACGATCGCTATGGGCCCAGATTTTCATGCATGCAGACCTAAAGGCTAGACCAAAGCTTGCATTTTACATTACCAAAATGTTGTCCTGGCTAAACAAATCTCAGGCCAAAACGGGCGAGGTAAACGAGGCTGAAGTCGGATCTTGCCCATCTTTAAATTTTACAGTTAAAGATTAGACCCAATTACTCTGTGTTTAAATGGACAGCCGTCCGTTTGCCAAGTTTTCGCCTGAAACAGGTATGAAGATCTCGACAAGAGTGCATGATGAAAATTTCCCCAAATAAACCCTTATAGGTAAGATGATTTTGATGTATTCAAATAAGTCATAGATCATGGTTCAGTTTAATTACTTCTCTCAATGAATATAAATTTAATTATAGTTTCAAGTTATGTTTTAGACGTCGCCTTGGTTTTGTTTAAAACGAAAAGCCTTTGCATGTCCTTACCTTGCCACCAAACTGTGTTTGATGTGCACAAAACACGACATCTTTTTCGTGTTTTCAATCCAAAAATTTATTTTCGTTATGTTGACAGTTACTAACGGAGTTGCATGCTATTCTACCTTTTGAAATCTAGTGTAGCAACGAAAGTCCTTGAACGTCCTTGAAAGTCCTTGAAAAAAGTCCTTGAAAGTCCTTGAAGTCCTTGAAATTGAAAACAAAAAATGAAAGGCTTTGAAAGTCTTTGAGTTTATAACGAAGTACTTGAAAGTCCTCAAATTCTTTCATGCTTTATATAGTGTTTGGATAATTTTCTGAAATCGTTTAGTTAACATTAAACAACGGACATTTTGTTGAAACGTTTTGTTCAGCTGTTTCCAATTCATCAAAGTTGCCAGATTCGATTTAAGGACTAATATTATGATTTTATGAACTGAAAACCTGATTGAACTGGGAAAAAGGTATAAAAACTGTTTACGACCTTCAGAGCTATTGGACGTCAATGCATGGCCGCCATCTTTGCTTCACTAGCTTTCTCATGATATAGGCCGAATGACTGAAATTCTTGCTCCAGATATATTGACCTCACTGGGATTTTACTCTTCCTCTATATAACCCTATGAACCATGTGATTTACTTATAAATTTATTTGTTTAGGAACTAAAATATTTTTTAATTGATGCATTATTATGGTTGAAGAAATTAATTAATAAAATATTTTATTATAGCTTAATCTTTAATCTTTAACCTAATTTACTATGTGAATTACAATTAAACAATCACATAAGAAATCTAACTAAGCTTAACATTAAAAGTATATTTACAAGCAAAGTTTAGTACGAGCAATTTTAGAAGAATCGACAATTAGTTCGAGTCCAGCATCAGGTTAAGACTATCAATCCCATACACAATAGGGCAGTTATTTCTGCATTTTATCTAGTTTGTCTCTGTCTTATGTGATTAATTGCTCTTGGCAATAAGCTATGTAATCTATGTCTAAGGTCTATCATCGTCTTTATATGAGTTTTCCACACGTCTCTTCGCTACGAGCCTTTAAGGATTTAACGTCACATTAAATGCCTCTTCATATGTCAGATCAAGACAGATTATCCGAAGCGCACGCCTCTGAACTCGTTAATTCTATATCATTCGACAATATTCAAGCGTCGATCTTATGACAGCAGTGTGAAAAGCTTTTAGATCCTGCTTTGGTGCGTTGCAATCTATAATCCGAGTCGAATTTGTAACAATAAACCCTTTCAAATATATGACTATTTTCTTTTCGAAAGTCAATTAACATTTCTTCACATTTCGTTTGATTTAACTCCATCCTTCTTCTTGTTAAATGGTTGGTCACATGAGATAATATAGGGACACTGATGAGTTTTATTCCTTCTTGCAGTAATTTTGTTCTTCACTTGTTGTATATAAATCTTACTCTTAACTTTTCCCCTAGATTTACATATCAAGCTCAAGTATATATCGAGTGCAGAACGAAAGAACAAGAGACTGACGGGAGTTTGGGCTCAGAAAATCAAAGAATTCAGAGAAGCTGACTGGCTATCGTATTGATGCCGTCAAAGACTAACAGTACAAGTTGAAATCAACGTATGCAGAAAGATCTTCTAATTCTACCTTGTTTCAGGTACGTGTTTCATAAAGTTTGCTAGCTTGCTGTGGACAAAATATGGTTTTGACAAAATCTGCGAAAAAATACAACTATATGTAGGTCCTCTAGCTGGCAGGAAACGAACCTGCGGTCCGGCGATTCCGGTGCTGCGCCATAAGCAACCGAGCTATACAGAGTCCAGTTGTTGTATATACATACATATACATATATATATATATATATATATATATATATATATATATATTATGTATATATATATATATATATATATATATTATGTATATATATATATATATATATATATATATATATATATATATATATATATATATATATATCGGGTGTCCCAAAAAAAAGTACTCCTGTTTGATTTGTAATAACTTTTAAACAAGTAAAGCTATCAAACAGAAATAAATTGCATTAAGTAGAGGAAGGACTAACTTAGATTTTGATATGTTACAGTTGTATTTTACTTAAGAATTCACGGAGATATTAATGTTCAAAATCGGGAGCACATTTTGGGATGTGTCTAAAATTAGCGAAAATCGGCCTATCAAATATTAACTCCAGCGTTTGTTTGCTTAATGACATATCAGGCTAACTTGTATTTCAGCGAATTGTCGTTAGGGTTTGTAAGAGATATAGCGTAGATTTAGACATCTTACATGTATGTCTTAACTCATTGTTTCCTGAAATATGAACTTTCAAAATTATGCAAGTATTTAATAGGTCTTTGCAAACTTAAAGGTACATGAAAGACCATGGAAGGCAGGCGCTTAAATTTTTCTTAAATAGCCTAATTTTTTTATGTGTTTCATGGGTTCAAAACAAAGTTGATTATTTCTCGGTTAGAGCAGAATGAATATTATTCTTTAATGAAGGAAATAATATTGCTTTTTTACAAATACACATCACAGTATCAAAGCTACTATTTTGTTACGTTTTGTTCCAAAAATGTTGGACGTCTCTGGGGAGTTGCTTGTTATGTCTTTACTTATATGGAGTTGTATGCCTAGTTTGATTTTGTTTTATTCTCAGTTTATTCTGAACTTGCCAAGATTAAGAAAGGCAAAAGAGTTTGGGTGTTCTTAACAAGATTTCAGAACGCTGCAGAAGTTAGAAAATTCATTCAATGTGAAGTTAGAAAATTCACAATTCCATTGTGACAGCTAGCATGCCCTAATTCAGAACTACGAACGAACGATCCATGATGATCCTTCGTGATGCAGTGGTCTCATGAAATAAGGAAACGTATTCGTGCCAGGAGCACACGCGGATTTCGGACGAATAAATTTTGCTTGTATAATAATACTTTGTTTCATAATAAACAATTTGTCAAGTGTAATTTATTTACTGGTATAGTGCATGTTTCAGTCGGGCAAATCTTGATTAATATTTGATACGCCGTTTTTTGCATATTTCAGACACATCCAGGAATATGCTCCCGATTTTAAACACTAATATCTCCGTGAATTTTGAAGTGAAATACAACTGTAATATATCAAAATCTAAGTTAGTCATTCCTCTATTTGATGCAAGTTATTTCTCTTTAAAAGCTTTACTTGGTTAGAAGTTATTACGAATCAAACCGGAGTACTTTTTTTTGGGACACCCGGATATACATATTATATACATATTATATACATATTATATACATGCACTAAGGTGATGCCATGGTAAGGTTATGGGCAAAAACCAAGATTTTGTTTTGCATCTTACTCGATTGAACCAACGCCGAAGGATTTTGTAGATGGAAATTTTCGAGTGTAAATTAGATACCCATGCTGCTCCTGGTAAGGTCTAATAAGTACTAGTTAAAACATGAGCAGCCGATCTTTATCTGAAGGCGAGAGTTTGTATATCAGATAAAGATCGGATGCGAATGTTTTATCGTGCTTAAAAAACGACAATAAACATTGTCTAAGCTGAGAAAATCAACGCTGAAGTTTATGTAAATCAGGCCAAATCTTTATCCGATTTACAAACATTGATTAAACATTCATTTCTTTTGTATTTTCCTCGTGAAGTATTCATGATTTTTTTAAGTACTATTTAAAAAACGAGCAGGAGTGTTTTATTAGGTTTAAAGCCACGAGCGCGCAGCGCGAGTGGCTTTAGACCTAATAAAACACGACCTGCGAGTTTTTAAATGGCTTCAAAAACGTTTGCATAATAAGTCAAATCTTTATATAAAAATATTTATATAAAAATCTTTATATAAAAGTATTTATATAAAAATCTTTATATAAAAATCTTTATATAGTTTGCATAACAATGGTCTTTTGTTAAAGTGTTCTTTAGCTGGTATAAAGACGTATGCACGTGACTAATTTATTAATTGCCTCATGAATTATTAATGAGTTTTTGAAATAGTACTTATGACTTACCTCCAACTTACTGCCACTGCTTACACTCCTGACGTACCTAGCTCACACTCATTGATCACGACTGAATAATATCTTCTATATCAGTCGTTCTCTTCTCTATCTTAATTTCTGTACTTCTTCTCATGTACTTTTTCTATTCTATATAATGTGTTGTTTTGTCTGTACTGTCCTGACTAATTAATGGTGAGCACCATGCATGGGACCTAGTCTCGTTTGTGCTTCTCCATCTTTGGCACGTTTTTACATATTGTTATTCTTGTGTTAGTTTGTGCTCGTTATTTACAATAATGTGTACCTGTTTGCATGCATGCGTGCCAAACAAAGCTGTTAAATTTTTAAAAAAAAATAATAATAATAATAGTAGGCTAGCATATGTAAATTCTGAACACGGATTGGGTAAGAGCCGTGTTGACATAACTCTATGTCAACACGGAAAATTTCTTTCTTTATATTGCTTTGTGCTATATTATAAAAAAATTACAAACCTTTTTCCGTATCATTTCCGTATATATTAATTTTACAGTTATAGCTATAGTTACACTCAACACTCGTGGAAATTGGGAAAAGTCCAATTTCCCAATTTCCACCACGGAAAATTTTTTATATTTATTAAATATAATTTACACTCGAAAATTTTCATGTACAAAATTCTTCAGCATTAATTGGTTTAATTCAGTAAGATGCCCAACAAAATCCTGAGATGAAATTATCTTGAATTAAGAAAAATAGAATTCGACAAGCATGTGTCTATACAAGATTTAATATACCAATAAATAAGCCTCCTTATTATAAAAGCATGCAAAGTTGTAGCTATATTCTACAATTCTTTCATTCAAACTCATGGTCTGACATGGACCAATAAGTATTCCATTGCAATTCATTGACATATCTCTGATAATCTATATGGTATGATATATTCTACGTGTCCTCGCGTCCATTCAGGTATGGGTAATACCAAGATACGATGACAATGAATAATTCGTGCACAAATTTACAATATAATATACTGCATTAGTCTGTATCAAATCTCAACAACACTAATGTATTATTATTGTAATGCAGTTGATATCCATAGCGCTCCATCGTGTTCAAGAGTTCCATGGTGTTCCACAACTTTTGTGAATAAAATATATACAAAAATTATGTGCCAAATACTGAAAGCAGGTGCCACAAAAAAACCTTGCGTCCCTTCTCTACATATTAAAATTCAAACGAGCGACGCAAATATTTCATGCAATCCATATAGCTATGATAATCCGCATGCTGTTGCATATACATACAGGTACACGCAATACCAGTCTACAATTACGATACATATAATACTGCATTAGTTTGCATTAACTTCTACATAACCCTGATATATTTTTATTTTAATACAGTCAATATCCAAGAGTTCCATATGGTGTTCAACTTTTGTAGTTCATTAAGGCTGCGTCTCATGCAGTCGTATCAAACATAAGAACCAAACCAATAATTCGTTGTTGAGTTTGGAGATTCTGTACAACGAAAATTGGGATTGTAAGTGAAGTACGCACCAAAATAGTAGTATCCACTTTTATCACTTTCTATGTCGCAAGCTGAGTCGTTTTGCATGGCAGCGATATGCGGAGTTTTGTAGGTAGTATGCGTCCACAGTGCGGTACATTTTGAACAAGACTGTCCCATGACACTTATGTAGCTCACGTTCTTGCATTCACTCATAACTCTTTTCAAGAGATTAAAATCAGCGAACACGGCTCGGACGTAGTCAGTCTCGGTGTCGACACCATATTGAGGAAAACTGCATGTAATTCGCCAATGACTTGTCATTTTCTTTAAAGCAGCCATTGATGACGAACTCATTCGGTATGCGGACCAATTTGGAGCATTTGGAGCGTATTCGTTTCCTGCTGCTTTTCGATACATTCCTCTCTTTTTGAATGATTTAAGATCTTTGTTTTCTCTCGTGAAGGACATGACCAGTGTCCAAACGGATCCTGGTTCGGATTCCATATCACAATACACTGTGATAGGTTGCTGCTGCTCATCAAGGATGGTGTAATTGCCCGATGTTTTACTACCATTGTTGAAATGATCAAGACAACTTGGTCTGATTGCCTAAATGGAAATTTAGAACAATTGTTTGTTTTTGCTGCCGATCGCAGCGAGGCAGCACACTATTTATTAGATCTGCTGTTTAGCGTTCGATATATTACGAAAGTCACCGAACTGTGGAATCGCATCATAAATTCGTATATCGACCACTCCCACAAACGTCTACGACCGCGCCTACATAGTTTTGCATGTTTACAATTCTAATTTTAAACAGCCAATCAGGTTCTTGGTAACAATTGCAATTAAACGTCGATTGGCTGTTTAATTAAAATTAGAATTGTAAACATGCAAAAATATGTAGGCGCGGTCGTAGACGTTTGTGGGAGTGGTCGATATACGAATTTTTGATGCGATTCCACAGTTCAGTGACTTTCGTAATAGAGGTATTGAAACATATGATTTCATGAATTTATCGGCAGTTTTAATAGCCCATGCACTATTACTGATCTATTTGTCAATGTCTTATTTATACAAGGAGTGAAATGTACTTTTAGTTTATTTGTTTATGTGGCGATGTGCCAAGGCGATGAGTTTATAGTGTTCATTCTAGATTTTATAGCAATGTGCCTTCAGCACGTTTTAAAATTTAGCAATAATTTGGGACAAAAACTGACTTAGTCTTTCTATACTGATATTATACAGTATTCCCCTGAATACTAGCCATGGCAACTGGTCATGCTGTGCTAATAAGCCTGCATCATTTGAATAATGCAATTAATTCAAAATTTGCATAGCATGAGTACCTGTTGCTATGGCTAGCTTCGCCACAGATAGTATTATAATTATATATACAAAAGCAAGAAATTATAAGCATTGAATGTATTCATATAAAAACAGCCATGCCAAGAAAGTAGAAGTAGAATATTTAGCTGAGTGCAAGGTGTTTGATATTCAAATTGCACTTTTCCTACCTCCTGAACAGGCGTCTTATAGGGGGGCTGTTTAGATGTTGGAAGGCGAGGTGATTTTGATGTACTGAAATAAGTCACCAGGCTAAACGAAAGTTCAAATGCTGGTTAACAGAACTCAAATGTTGATCTTGTAGTTCAAGAAGATTGTTATTGTTGCTTGAACAACCTTTCGTTTACAGTTGACTATATAATTTATCTTTAGAAGATGATGTTGTTTTTTGCTGAATCGTCCAGCGTAATTTATTTCGATACATCAAAATAGTCTCCCTCGCATCTCCTCTTGGCAAAGCGAGGTCATATTCAGCAAATTGTGCATGCTGCCTTTGTTCTCTTGGGGGTGAGGCAGCACTTTTGTTGCGATAGTAACTTCTAGTATTGTCAAAAAAACTGACAGCTCTCACGTTTTGTTTATGCTGTGGTAGATCCAATTTAATCGTTAAACGAATTGACAATAAGAAAGGCTCGCCAAGAAGGCCTGCAATCAACGCTAAACTTAGACAATTCCAACCTCGATTGCAACTGTTGCTGGAAAAACACCTTCCCACTCTGAGAGTGAGGAATAAGTTCGTAGATACAGTGCACTCTTTCTCATTGTCGGAAAATGCAAATAGCGTGACTACGAGATTGCAATTTACTTGCTGGTGACGGAAGGTAGATGTATACCTGCTCAGTTTCATTATCTGTCTTCTGTGTGTTTTCTGTTATTTGATAGAAGGTGTATCTGTCATCTTTCAGGAATTCCAATGAATTGTCATCATCATTCTTCGTTTCATCATGTAATTCACAATTTTCCTTGCCATCATTGACCGAAGTGGGTTCGGCATAATTGAGAGACTTGCAAGTCCATTTTCTCTCTAGGCAAGACAAGACGCAAACCAGTGCTGGCTTCGCTCGTAATCTGATATATGCTTTGCGCTGAGATCGAACACCTGAAAAACTTTATGTTAGTGATGTTTATATAACAGGGGTCGGTTGTATAAAAAAGTGATTAAAGTTAATCATAGTTAAGTGGAAATGTCGTCCAATAAGAAGAGCCTATTTGTAAGTTAATCACTATTTAACTACAAAATAGTGATTAAAAAAGTGATTAAGAGTTTTATACAACCAGCCCCTGGACGTCTTTATATGACGCCCAAAACACTACGATCTTGGGGTCAATACTTATTGGCACAACCACAAAAAAATTATGAGGACGTTACTTGACTTTATTTGCATGAACACAACATTTATCACATTACTACATAATTCTGAGATCTAGCGATATTAATACTTTCTAAATTTTCTCCGAACGTGCCAGGTTTTCTTATATTAATTTCAAGTGGTTTCATTTTCGTCAGAGTCTCATTACGCACCTTGTTTCATCTGAAAATATTGTTGTTCATTCCTAGTTACTTCTCTTCCAATAGCACTAAGGATTATAGAAAAGTATAGCAACACCATCCAGAATAGTTTGTTTTGAATTAAGTCGAAAATCATGACACTCGAACAATAAGTGAGTAATATTTATTTGAGCTTGTTGCCAAAAATGCGAAGAAGAATTTGTGTATGCTACCCAGACCTGTTGTAATGAGTCTTGTTTATCTAGACTTGTAAAATACTTAGTTGATCAAATATTAATCGTTTCATTATATTTTAAAGATTATACTAAAAGCTTTTAAAGCACGATTGTGAAATTAGAATATTATGCATCGGAACTGAAAACAATAAGGACGCGTCTTGCATCTTGCTTAAACAATTGAATACCGCTTAATTGAACAATTTCTTACGTTGTGTAAATTGCATGTGCTATAACAATTGCTATATTAAGTTATTATATGTATTCATAAAATGACTATAGGTTGAAAACACCAGTAAAAATAGTGGTTTGAATAGCGCAAATCATTAAAAATTTGCACAGCATGACCTGTTGCTATGGCTATAGCTCGCCACTGCCACTTTATAGTTAGCACATAGGCGTACGAGACAGGGAGGCAAGGGGGACTGCCCTCCCAATAATTTAGAAAACGAAGGAAATTCGAAAATTTTGGGGAAAATCAAGATAATTTGGTAACTTTATTAATGTGTTAAAATTCGATCATAGGAACCGCCGTAACTAGGCGGGGGCGCATATTCATATATTCGTGTTCTGCCCTACTGATTTCTTTTGAAAGCGATTGTTTTTACGGTATGTGAACATGAATATATGAATATGCACCCCCTCCCCCCCCCCCAAATTATTGCTTCTAGTTACAGCTTTGATAGAAACTCGAAAATTTCCATCTAGGCTACAAAATTCTTCGGGTTAATTTGGTTCAATCGAGTAAGATGCCAAGAAAAATCCAACTTTAACAGGTTGTCATGTGTTAATTATTACGTTTACAGGTTTTTGGTTTACGTATTTATGAGATCAGGCTTTCAGCTGTAATTTTAAAAAAAACGTTATTGAATCGTTGCGATAAAAAATAACAAATATGATCTGATTTAAAGTGGTCGGTTGAAATCGCATTTTCCACATTTAGGATTTAAATGTTCTTATGCATACACATGCTTGCGTTGCGCCATGTTTATTTAAGCGACTTAAATATGAATCGCAAATGAGAATATTTTCAACAGTACTCAGACAATAGCTTTACATGCAATTCCCAATGGTGGCAAAAATGCGATATATTTCTACAGGATGTCCCAAAAGAAAGAAAACTATTGAAATAGTATTGTTAGAATTTGAATGCCTCAGCACTCTGCTGAACCCACACGTGCATCAAAGCTTGACGTAAGTAAATTTTATGCATAAAGAAACCGTTTAATAAGAAGCTGTTTTAAATTCCCAAGAGCAGAAAATCGTGCGCTTTACAAAGATAATTTAATTTCTTAATAAGTCAATATATGCGCCCTTGTCAATATTTTACGCATCTTTGCGTTGCCGCACACAAGAGCAACTTGCTGAGCTAACCGCCTCGCAGTGGCGCAGTGGCCGGGGGGCCCCGCCCCCTATTGTGGAGACCCGTCGGAAAATTGTGAATGTTGTCGGAAATTGTTGGAAAATTGTCAACGTTGTCGGAAATTGTCAAAGTTTCCGACGTTGGTATATTCGGAAAAATTTGGATAAATGGAGAAAATTGGTGATGTTCGGAAAAATTTTAAGATGTAATGAAAAATTTTGGTATGTCCGGAAAAATTTTTTGACCCCTAAAATGGTACACTGACCGAATTTTTTTTGGCGATGGGGGAGGGGGAGGAGGTGGTTCTCAAAAAAATGTCAGTAAAAAAAATTTTCGTGACGTTTCTGTCGGAAATTATTTTTCGGTTTGTCGGAAAAATTCTGCCCTTGCCCCCCCCCCCAAAAAAAAAACATGGGTCCCACGGCGCCACTGCCGCCTCGCGTGGCAGCTAGCTCAGCTATATATATATTTTCACCGCACAAGTTGAAAAAACTACTCAACGACAATATAATTGACAAAATCATTTGCATTTTCCTCCATTTTGTTCCTAGTCACATGAAGAAACTAGAGTATGGTTTGTCATTGGCTAATTGATTCAAACAGCTTATCTCACAATATCCGCAGACGCTGAGATTTTTTCCTTGCGAGGTGAAAAATATCAAATACGATAGATATTTCCTCAAGGCCTCGAGAGGTCAAATCCTCACGAAAACTATCCGTACAAGAGAGAAACTTGCTGAGCTATAGCTTCCACGCGAGGCGGTTAGCTCAGCAAGTTGCTCTCGTGTGCGGCGGGCTTTAGTGCTAAGGCATTCAAATTTTAACAATACGTTATTTCAATGGTTTTGCGGGGGTTTTTGGGACACCCTGTATATAAATGCGATATATTTTAATATTTCGAATTGGGGAAAACAATTCGCATAGCATGCGCGCCTTTGAATACATTAAATTTCGTGAGGCCTGTTTCAAACGTTGCGCTTTTCATTTGCCGAACGCACTAGTATACAGGGTGTATAAAAAAAAACTGAACAGATTTGAAATTGCTTTCAATTTCGCAAAAACACCTATTTGTATCCGTTTTTTTATATATATAGCTTCTTTGGGTACTTATAATGTAGAATAATGAAAAAAAATTCTCGAACTCAAATTTTGTGAATCAGGGGTGTGTGTCTTTTCCAACAAACTAAAAATGGCTCGCGCACAAAATTTAAAAGCTGTAATCATAATTTGAGT